CTAGAACTCCCAGTTTCCTGGTGATTGGCCCAAAGTCGCTCAGCTGGTTTTCATAGCTAAGGCGGGACTAGAACTCCCAGTTTCCTGGTGATTGGCCCAAAGTCGCCCAGCTGGCTTTCATAGCTAAGGCGGGACTAGAACTCCCAGTTTCCTGGTGATTGGCCCAAAGTCGCTCAGCTGGCTTTCATGGCTAAGGCGGGACTAGAACTCCCAGTTTCCTGGTGATTGGCCCAAAGTCGCCCAGCTGGTTTTCATGGCTAAGGTGGGACTAGAACTCCCAGTTTCCTGGTGATTGGCCCAAAGTCGCTCAGCTGGCTTTCATGGCTAAGGCGGGGACTAGAACTAGTTTCTGGCCTGGTGCCTTCACCACCAGACCAAACAGGCTCTTTGCCGAACTCATCAGAGGGTAGGATCGACTCTCGTATCCCCATGGCTGCTGGTACTACCTCCGAGCCTTTGCAAGATCCATGTTTCTACCTTAACAACTGCAGTGATTCAACCATGGCGCCCAGAAAGGTTGTAAAATGGGGCAAAACTCATGTAACACCTGAAGAAATTTTCGGCTCAACCGTGGCTGTACGTTGAGGAACACTCGTACCTCCCATGTTGCTCTAATGCAAGGGGTCTCCAACCTTGGCAAGTTTAAGACTTGTGGACTTCAGCTCCCAGAATTCCTGAGCTAACATGACCGGAGGAGGAATTCTGGGAGTTGAAGTCCACAAGTCTTAAAGTTGCCAAGGTTGGAGACCCCTGTCTTAAAGCTCTCGAGTTTGAAGAGCTCTGCTCTTAACATAATTTGCAGGGGGCAAACACCCCTAAATCTCAAGAAGAGATTGGACCGCCATCTGTCAGAAATGGTGTAAGGTCTCCCGCTTGGGTGGGTGGGGGGTGGACTAGATGGCCTATAAGGTCCCTTCCAACTCTGATTATCTGTTAGACCTTCAAGAAGAAGAAGCTGACATTCCCTCCTTTGCTGGAAGAGTTTTGGGCCTCTTCCCCTCCTTCCATGTGCCGAAAAAGGACCCTCTGGAAACGGGCATGGTGTGTCTTGACTTGCAGTTAGTTGCCGCTCTGTGGATGGCAGCCGATTGCCTAAAACAACCACCGCCCCCTTTTGTTGTTGTTGTGGGTGAAGGAGTGCGCTTGGAACCATGCCCATTCCCAAGCTCTTTCATTTCCTGCAATTACCGTGTTGGGCGGGTGCCAAATTCCTCTCCTTATATCCATGCCCTCTGGGGTTGTGTGTGCAATTCTGAGATTGAGGTGCTCTTGTAGGACGCAACCCGGATTGAGTCACACTTTTGGGCTCTCTGGAGGTGCGTGGCTGGGTGCCTTTTGGCACTGAGAGGGGCGGAATAGACAGTTTGCAGTACCTTCTTTCCCCGAAAATAAGACCCTGTGGTATGTGTGTGTGTGTGTGTGTGTGTGTGTATACATACATACATACATACATACATACATACATACATACATACACGTATGTATGTATGTATATATATGTTTTCTGAGGTTCTCGCGGGTATTTGTATGTGGATCTTTGGTTATTCGGGTTTTCTCCCGCGTAAGATTGGAAGTATCTAGGCAACGTTTCGATGAAGTCTCATTCATCTTCAGGCTTGTGTCTTCGGCCATGTGCTTCTCAGAGTGATGTGAGCTTGCAGCTGCTTCTTCCTTTTAACTGCTAGTGGGGGTGTGACTTGATTGGGTGGGGGCTTGGCTGTGTTCTGATTGGGTGGGGAGTGTTCTCATTGGTTGGGGGGTTGGCTGTGTTCTGATTGGTTGGGGGGTTGGCCATGTTCTGATTGGCTGGAGGTGTGTTCTACCTGAGAGCCTGACCTCTCAATATACGCTTTTTAAGTGGTCCTCCATTTACAATCTTAATGGAGCCCAGAATGTTGGCTGTTGGAATTCTGGGAGTTGAAGTCAGATCACCCGGGTAGAAAATACACGGCCTTAACAGCAACACCAAAGTGGCATCTCTGTGTATGCCCAGGCCCTTCTAAATAGCTGTTCTGACCCAAACTTCATTCCAAGGAAACGAACCCAAAACGGAGGTAACAGCAAAACCTTTTAATGATTCTTTACGAATTCCGTTCCTTCCCAGTTAAAAGACTGTTTCAAACTAATTGCCTCTGATAAGAACGAGCCTTGCCAAGGTGGTGCGAGGATGCCAAGAACACTAGATAAAGTGACTAAGAAATATTTCAAACACAAAGAGTCTCCAAACACAAACTAAGAGAGTCTGAACGTCCACAAGGCTTGAGTGCAGAAACTCCTTTGCTTCCTGCAAAGAATCCCGGTCTCTCAGGCTGGCTTTTATCCCTTAAGGGAGGGGCCATCACCTTGCAGCCTTAATGCTGAGTTGTCTGTGCTGCTGCAGCTGCTCTTTCCTTTGAGCAGTCCTGCACACTCACGCACTGAGCGCAGGCTCCTCGGGAACCTCCTCATCGTTGCTGACAGCCTCCACAATCTCCGAAGGCAGCACTCCACTCCCTGATGGTCCTGGCTCCATCCCTGCATCCCACGCGGGCCCCTCATCTGAGTGCTCGCTGGAAACTAATCAAGGAGAGAAGCAACCTGGAACTAAGGACAAACTTCCTAACAATGAGGATAATTAATCCAGGGAAACGACTTGCCACTAGAAGTTGTGGGTGCTCCAACACTGGAGGCTTTGAAGAAGAGATTGGACAGCCATTTTTTCTGAAATGGTATAGGGTCTGCTGCCTGAGCAAGGGGTTGGACTAGATCAACGGTCGCCAACCGGTGGGCCGTGAGAAAATTTTGGTGGGCCACAGAGAAATCTCACCCCCAGAGCACCCCCCCCAAAGCAATTAATCCAGGCTGCGCCGCCCACATGGCCCGCGGGAACCCTCCCCGCCCAATCACTCCTTACGCGGCAAACTTGCCTGCTAAAATTGCTATATTTCCTTTTTCCGACCATCATCTGTTCTGCTGTGCCGGGAGATTTAGATTAGCTAGGAAGCAGGAAATGGTTGGATTTCTTGCTTTCTAGCTAGTCTTTAGATCTTCAGCTCTGCTTTTAAGCAGAGCCGAACCTCCCTTAGGACTGAAGCTTCTATTATTCAGTGCAGACTCATGGCAAGCACATTTTATGTGACAGACTCAGGTAGCCGATGGCAGATAGATAAATCACTGAATGATTCTGTGAGCAACTCAATCTGCCTGTCTGCTTTGCTTGATTTTGGGTAAAAGTTGCTCTTTTTTTAACAAAAAAAATATCAATATTTACATAATTGTGTGTTGTGAGTTAATTTTGTGAGTTTGCTTGCAAGCAAATTTTATGTGACAGACTGAGCTAGCCAATTACAGATAGATCTCTGAACAAATCTGTGATTCTGTGAGTAACTCAATCTGCTTTGCCTGATTTTAGGTAAAAGTTGCTCTTTTTTATTAAAAAAAATTCAATATTTATATAAATATTTATAATATTTACACACAAGCCATGCTCAGCCAGTCACGTGGCCACCAAGCCACACCCACAAATTAGGCCACACCCACAGAGCCGGTTAGTGGTCCCTGGGATCTAAAATTATGAGTTTGGTGGTCCCCGAGGTCCAAAAGGTTGCCGACCCCTGGACTAGATGACCTCCGAGGTCCCTTGCCCCTCTTCCTTGTTCGTTTTTTGAAGGTCTAGTTCTGCTTCCACAGGGGATACACTCGGGACCCAGGATTGTTGGTGGGCACAAAAGTTTGCGCAGGAGGTCATTCTTCCCCCTAACGCTCTCTGTGTCTTCACAGGGAGGCTGAGCTCTGCGGGAGCCGACTGACGGAGGAACAATGCCGGTGGTGTGGCCAACACTTCTGGACCTCAGCAGGGATGAATGCAAAAGAGTCCTCCGTAAATTGGGTAAGTAGAGCCTGGAAGGAGAAAAGTTGGTGCAAAGTAGGTATGAAGTAACCCATGCTAAAGGACCAAGGGGGGCGGGGGGAAGTATGGGAGATCTTATTGGCGGGGGCTTCAAGGGATTCTCCCCACCCAAAACCTGTCACAAGATTTTGTCGTGTCAGATAATCCCTCTCTGATTCCAGGGGTTTTATGCAATTCCAAATGGGGTTTCTTTGTTTATCTTAAGAATCGCCCTCCTAGGAACATGTTTTCAAATGTGGTGGCAATGCCCGAAAGCAAAAAAAAAAATTAGATGAGGATACAAAGATGGCTACTAGAAATTACAGAACAACAATTAGAACTTCAACTGGAAATATTTTTATTAGGAATAATTAAGGGACAATTTAGCAAGTCTATCCATTATATCATTAGACATATAAAGGCAGCGAGGATAGTCTTTGTTACAGGGCTGGAAAAGAGAAAAGATACCATCCAAAGAGAATCTGATACAAAAAATAACGGACTGTGCGGAAATGGATAAATTCACAGCGGAATTAAAAGGCAAGGACGAGTCGGACTATGATGCGGTTTGGGATAGGTGGTATAAATGGGTAGACTAGAGAAATAAGAATTGATGTATAGGTATAAAAGCAAATATATTAATGACACAATGCTGTTAATGTAAATAGAGATTTGTAATTTTGTTTTTTAAAAATAAAATAAAGAGAATTGCCCTCATAGAAGGAGCACAATAAAGAGGGATGTTGGTGAGCAGAGAGCGGAAGGGAGGGGGAATCTGCTGTTAATCTAGCAGCCCCCTCCAGAGTAGAACTACCCCATTGGTCGCCAGATCAATGTGCTGAGCCAGCTTCCCAAATATGACAAACCCTCTGAAGTGAACTCAAAAGATTCTTTTATTAGGACCGCCGGCAGCTCTGGCAAAAAGTTTCTCTCTCACCACAGGCTAACAAGTCCATCTGTCTGGGAGGTGAACAGTTGCCTACCACATCCTTTATGGTGTCTCCACACAACCATGTTCTTCTGTTATGCTTGTGGCCGGTCGTGGTCTCCAAATTTGGCACTTCAAGACTTGTGGACTTCAACTCCCAAGAATCCCCCCCCAGCCAACCATGAGAATTCTGGGAGTCGAAGTTCACAAGTCTTAAAGTGGCTAAGTGTTCTGACCCGGCTCCCTAAACACGACAAACCCTCTTTACTTAATGTGTCAGTGCCCTTAATTAAAGCATGAGCCTCGAGCCAAGTTTCAAAAGAAATCCAGTTACTTATTAGGCATACCCAAATGAAGTCAGCTCTGCCTCATGTAATTTATGGCCCACCTATGACCCCATTTACCCCCTTCCCCTAGGGCTGTGAGGGCGAACCTATGGCACGCGTACCACAGGTGGCACGCAGAGCCATTTGTGCTGGCATGCGAGCCGCAGGAAAATTTACTTCACTGCGCATGTGCTGATTTTCGACCTGTTTGAGGCCTTTTTCGGCCTCCCAGAGGCTTGAGGAAAGCCTCTGCAGCCTTTGCAGGTCGAAAAATAGGCCTGTTTTGTCACTTCCTGTATTTCCGGAAATCGGGGATGTGGCAAAACAGGCCTATTTTTCGGCCTGCAAAGGCTGCAGAAGCTGTCCTCAAGCCTCTGGGAGGCTGAAAAAAAGCCTCAAATGGCCCAAAAATCAGCTGGGAGGTGCAGTGCAGGTAAGGAGGGAGGATTTTGTGCACATGAGCAGGAGGCGTGGGGAGTGCACATTGCCTTCTGGGTGCTGGCACGCAAGCACGTGCACAATTTTTGGCACAGGAGCCCAGAAAGGTTAGCCACCACTGCCCTAGGGTGTGTCATAGATAACATTCTCCAACAGAACACTTTCCTGGGCTGTAGAGATCACACCCGATAGCCTGGGATAGAGCTTTGAAGAAAGCATGCGCTGCCGTGATGCTCCAGTCCCCCCCCCCGCCCCTCCACTCCTGCCTAAGGTAACTCGAGAGCAGGCCAGGAATGCTTTACGAGTTGACACAATGATTCCTTTTATTAGGAGTGCTACCAGCCCCTGCCAAAAGTTTTCTCTCTCACCGCAGGCTAACAAGTCAATCCATCCGGGAGATAAATAGTTGTCTGCCACATCCATTTGTCTCCGCCCTCTGCCTTTCATCCCCAGAACTTGGGTGAGGCTTCGCTAGCAGCAGTGACTCTTCTGTCCCAAGGATCGGCCCATAGATTTCCACTGCTCTCCTCTCCTCTCTGCCTTCTGAGCATCCATGTGTCAGGCACTGGACCCAGCTGTTCCTCCTCTTCTTCATCAGCCACCTCCAGACTCTCCATCTGAGGGCTGATGGACGGCTCAGGCTCCGTCTCTGCCTCTGCCTCTGTCTCTCTCTCTCTCTCTCTGCCAGCTCCATTCTCTCTTCCCCATCACAGCTCTCTGGTTGCCTTGATGCTGACCCTGACTACCACGCGGCCGCCCCTTCCTCTGATTTGGCTGCTGGAGAGGCCGACAGGCCACAACAATCAATTTGCAGAACCTGGTTGTTAGGCTGTTATGGACGGATAGGAGGTTGGGGGGCAGATCTTACCCTGGAGATGTTCCAATGGGCGAGTGCTGCAGCATTGAAGGCTCTTCTGGGTCCTGACAGCCAGAGTTCTCTGACTGATGGGATCTGCGGTAGACCCCCTCGCTAATGGTGAGGAATAATTTGAAGTCAGAATACTTTGACTTAGTTTGTCTCTCACTTTCCTTGGCCAGAAATATTCCTATGATCTTTCCTTGTAGTATTGTGGCCCACCAGTGGCCAGCGGAGCTGGAGGCAGACTCGGACAGTGAGGAGGTTGGGGAGGAACAGGGGCCAGTCCTGGAGTCTGGGGAAGGCTCGGACGAGGGCTCTGCGTCGGAGGCAGAGATGGGGCCAGGGCCGTCCGACAGTTATCAGCTGCCTTCAGAGTCACAGATCAGTGAGGTAGAAGAACAGCTGGAGCCTGTTCCCGGTGTGCGCATGCGCAGAGCTGCCAGAAGAAGGGAACAGCTAAGGAACAAGGGTCGACTCGGGAGTAAGGGAAAAGGTGGACGGTGAATGGCCCCTCCCATAGGGAATAAAGAGGAGCGAAAGGGGAGTGGGGCTTGCAGGAGACAATGAGTTCAATTCATTAAGGTGAAGATCTGTTCCTGACTCCTTGCCAAGAAATTGCTGCTACAGAGTGGCGTTGGGAAGATACCGGCCTGGCAACTCTCCCAGCCTGACAAAGGTCTGGCATTGTGAACTCTCTTGAAAGACCGTTGGCCGGAACTTTGCTGGAGAGGAATTCCCCTTAGCCTAAATAAAAGGGGTTTTGTCGGGATGAGGAGGCTGCTTCGTGTTTTTTTTTGGAAAGCCCAGGTCAGAACAGGTATTCTTAAAAGGGAGAGTCAACAAGACGTCCATTTGCACATCCCTCTGTCGTTCCCTGCGACATCCTGTGAATCTCAGCCTCTCTTCCCTCTTTCCTCCCCTGTGTAGAATTGGAAGCCTACGCCGGAGTGATCAGTGCCTTGAGGGCCCAGGGAGATCTGACCAAGGAGAAGCGAGACCTTCTGGGGGAACTTTCTAGAGTGCTGAGGTAAATCCCAGATTTAGCCTGGATCGGGTGGTTTTCTCTCTCTCTCTCTCACTGCTAAGGAAGGCTGAGTCCACTCGGCAATTCGGAAGTAAACGCAAAAATAAAATGGCAGGAAATGGACGGTTGGAGGGAGGAGAAGTCCTTTCATCATCAGAATAAAATTCTACTTTTAGAGCAGGGGTGTCAAACTTGAGACCTGGGGGGCCAGATGCGGCCCGTGGGGTGCTTAGATCTGGCCCTGGAAACGGCAAAGGACCAGCAAAAAACAGAGCTCGGAGGGGGGGGAATGTTTCCCCTTTTGCATTTGAGCCTGCGAGAAGGGACAGGAAAGGAGAAAGGGAAAGAGGAAAGACCAAGATAAAGAAGGGAAGATGGGAAGAGAGGAAGGAAGGGGAAAAAAGGAAAGAGGGGAAGGAAGGAGAAGGAAGAGGAAAGGAAAAAGAAGAAAGGAAGGAAAGATGGGAAGAGAGCAAGGAAGGAAAAATAAAGAGGGGAAGGAAAAAAGGAATGAAGAGGGAAGAAAAGAGGAGGAAGAAAGGAAGAATGAGATGAAGGGAGGGACGGGGAAGGAAGGAAGAATGAGATGAAGAGAGGGAGGGAGGAGGAAGGAAGGAAGAATGAGGTGAAGAGAGGGAGGGAGGGGGAAGGAAGGAAGAATGAGGTGAAGAAAGGGAGGGAGGGGGAAGGAAGGAAGGATGAGATGAAGAGGGGAAAGGAAGGAAGGATGAGAGGGACGGAGGGGGAAGGAAGGAGGAAGGAAGGATGAGATGAAGAAAGGGAGGAGGAAGGAAGGAAGAATGAGATGAAGAAAGGGGGGAAGGAAGGAAGGAAGAATGAGATGAAGAAAGGGAGGGAGGGGGAAGGAAGGAAGGAAGAATGAGATGAAGAAAGGGAGGGAGGGGGAAGGAAGGAAGAATGAGATGAAGAGAGGGAGGGAGGAGGAAGGAAGGAAGAATGAGATGAAGAGAGGGAGGGGGAAGGAAGGAAGGAAGAATGAGGTGAAGAGAGGGAGGGAGGGGGAAGGAAGGAAGGAAGAATGATATGAAGAAAGGGAGGGAGGGGGAAGTAAGGAAGAATGATATGAAGAAAGGGAGGGAGGGGGAAGTAAGGAAGAATGAGATGAAGAGGGGAAAGGAAGGAAGGATGAGAGGGAGGGAGGGGGAAGGAAGGATGAGATGAAGAAAGGAGGGAGGGGGAAGGAATAATGAGATGAAAGGGAGGGAGGGGGAAGGAAGGAATAATGAGATGAAGAGAGGGAGGGGGAAGGAAGGAAGAAAAGAATGAGATGAAAGGGAGGGAGGGGGAAGGAAGGAAGGATGAGATGAAGAGAGAAGGAAGGAAGGATGAGAGGGAGGGTGGGTGAAGGAAGGAGGAAGGAAGAATGAGATGAAGGGAGCGAGCAGGAAGAAAGGAAGGATGAGATGAAGGGAGCGAGCAGGAAGAAAGGAAGAATGAGATGAAGGGAGCGAGCAGGAAGAAAGGAAGGATGAGATGAAGAGAGGGAGGGAGGAGGAAGGAAGATTATAATGAGAGGGAGGGAGGGTCTGAGGGAAGTCCTGCCCTAACACTGGGCCCCCCCAGGGGCCCCCCCCCCCCCCCCGACATGAGTGATATCAAGCTGGCCAGGCCCACTCTGGCCACGTCTAACCTGGCCACGCCCCCAAAGTCTAACACAACCTTGATGCGGCCCTCAATGAGTTTGACATCCCTGCTGTAGACTGTGATGGTTGTAAGTGCGAGGACCAGTGGTCAGTCACTTTTGCCACTGCCGTTTTAACTTTGGTCAGCCCTCTGCCAGCGAAAACAGAGCTTGTACGTGGCCCCCCTCCCCCCAAACTCCATTTTCGCTGGCAGAGGGCTGCACGAGGACGTCGTGGCCGAAAACAGGGCACGGGTGGAATGTGTGCGGCCCCCCTTGAGTTCCATTTTCGCTGGCAGAGGGCTGCAGGAGTCTGTCGCAGCTCCCTCCCCCGACACAAGGGACATCGAGCTGGCCACGGGTGGGCTGGTGGGAGTTTGCAGAGGTTCAGGAGAGCCCCTAAGCACAGTTTGGAGAACCCCCAAACCCCACTCCTGGCTGGCTCTGCCCACTCTGCCCCACCCCTCTTAGGAGTCCCCACACGGCCCGTTTTGGATGCAGGTAAGGGCACGGCGCACGGGGAGGCCGAAAAACAGGCCGTCCGGAAGTTCGGGAAGGCTGGAAATGGGCCCTTTTCGACTTCCAGAGAGCCCGGGGGAGGCCATTTTCGCCCTCCTGGAGGCTTGACGAAAGCCTCCGGAGTCCGGGAAAGCAAAAATACCCCCCGCCATGGAGCAGGAGGCCGAATAGGCCACATCCACTGTGGCCACGCCCACCCAGCAACCGGGCAGAGAACCCGTTGCTAAAACCCGTTGCTATCCCAGCCCTGCCCCCCTCCCTACCCCCCCGGATTCCTGAGGTCCAACAACTCTGATGCGGCCCTCAATGAAATGGAGTTTGACACCCTTGCATTAAACCAGCTCCCCTCCAAATGTTAATCTTCCTTCTTAGCTGACCACTGGAGAGATAAACTGGGGAAGCGTCCGGGGCGCGCGGAGGGAGTCATCGCAAAAATCGACGTTAAAATTTAATCCCTGTCTTTTTTTTTTTTTTTTTCAACAGCATTTCAACGGAAAGACACCGGGCGGAAGTTCGGCGGGCGGTCAACGATGAACGCCTGACAACCATCGCACATAAGTAAGATGGCGGCCTTAGGAACATTCTCTAACCAGGCCTCACATAGGCGACATTTCTGAGTGTCTCTTTTGCCTTTAGGGCCCCCGTGTCCAGTACATGGTTGACGCTAAGTAATTTCTTTCTTTTGTTACATTTTTACCCTACCTCAAATCCAATAGACCTTTAACACTGTACAAATATGATTAGGGATGATGAGGGAACTGGAGACTAAAAGATACGAAGAACGGTTGCAGGAACTGGGCCTGGCTAATCTAGGGAAGAGAAGGACCAGGGGAGACATGAGAGCAGTCTTCCAATATTTGAGGGGCTGCCACAGACAAGGGGGGGGGGTTTCAAACTATTTTCCAAAGTGAAAGAAAGACAGAAAAGAAAGAGAAAGAAAGAAGAAAGAAAGAAAGAAAGAAAGAAAGAAAGAAAGAAAGAAAGAAAGAAAGAGAAAGAAAGCGAAAGAAAGCGAAAGAAAGAAAGAAAGAAAGAGAAAGCGAAAGAAAGAAAAAGACATCTGAGTGAATCATGGATGGACAGAGGACATGTCTAGTTTGAGGAAAAGAAGGATAGCAGGGACACGATAACAATCTTCCAATATTTCAGAGCTTGCCACAAAGAAGAGATGTAAAAAAGATGTTGAGGCTCTAGAAAAAGTACAGAGAAGAGCAACCAGGATGATGAGGGGACTGGAGACTAAAACATATGAAGAACGGTTGCAGGAACTGGGCCTGGCTAGTCTAGGGAAGAGAAGAACCAGGGGAGACAGGATACCAGTCTTCCAATATTTGAGGGGCTGCCACAGGGAGGAGTGGAGTTCAAGCTATTCTCCAAAGCACCTGAAGGCCAGACAAGGAATAATGGATGGAAACTGACCAAGGAGAGATTCAACCTGGAAATAAGGAGAAACTTTCTGACAGTGAGAACAATCAACCCATAGAACAGAAGTCACCTTTGGAAGTTGTGGGAACTTCATCCCTGTAAGCTTTTAAGAAGAGACTGGACTGCCATCTGTCAGAAATGGTGTAGGGTCTCCTGCTTGGGCGGGGGGTTGGACTAGAGGACCTACAAGGTCCCTTCTAACTCCGATTATCTGTTTATCTGTAAATATGGTCGAACTAAAGATACCCAGAAGAGCTAAAATCCTAAAACCACACAAAACCATGTGAGGCCTTGCGATCCAAACATTTCCCAGGGTAGCTCATTCTCAGCATTTTTCGGAATGTGGCCGTTCCGAAGAGCAGATCTAACCTCAAACAAGAGATGGTGACGAGGCCGCCATTGGGAAGCGATACTTGAGTGTTGGCCCCCACCAAAAAAAGGTGGGGAGCGGCAGGCTGCTTCCCTTTTGTTGTAACAGTTGGGCAGCCCACAAGTAGTGGCAGCTTCGGAGTAGCAGTAGAACTTATATACCGCTTCACGGTGCTTTTACAGTCCTCTCTAAGCAGTTTTAAGAGCATATTGCCCCAAACAATCTGGCTCCTCATTTTACCCACCTCGGAAGGATGGAAGGCTGAGTCAACCTTGAGCCCGTCAGGATCAAACACTTGGTAGTCAGCAGAGTCAGCCTGCAATACTGCCCCCCCCCAGACCCCTGAGGACCAGTCAGAGGTGGTATTTGCCAGTACTCAAAATTTCTGCTGCCGGTTCTCCAGAACTGGTCAGAACCTGCTGAATAATTACTTTAACTACGATGCCACCATGGCTCATAAAATGTGTGCATTTTAGCTTCCCTCTGTTTTTTTAACACTGGTATTTAGAATAGAATAAGAATAAGAATAAGAATAAGAATAAGAATAAGAGAAGAGAAGAGAAGAGAAGAGAAGAGAATTCTTTATTGGCCAAGTGTGATTGGACACACAAGGAATTTGTCTTGATGCAAATGCTCTCTGTTCATAAAATAAAAGATACATTCGTCAAGAGTCAAGGATCATCAGGTACAACATTTAATTATAGTCATGAGGGTACAATCAGCAGTCAAATCCTACTAGGAAACATTCAATATAAATCTTAAGGATACAAGCGACAAAGTTAGAGTCATATAGTCACAAGTGGAAGGGGGTGGGTGATAAGGAGTGATGAGAAGATTAATAGGAATAGAACAGAATAAGAATAGAATAGAATAGAATAGAATATTGGAATGGAAAGGGAATAGAATAGAATAGAATAGAATAGAATAGAATAGAATAGAATAGAATAGAATAGAATAGATCCCATTCCGTCTCCTCCCCACCCCACTAACCTGCTTTCCAGCTCCGTTCTCCTGCACAGGGCAACCAGAGAAGACCCAGACGATCAGCTGTGGACGTGGCATTCTGTGGGCATGGCTTGGTGGACATGGCAGGGGAAGGATACTGTAAAATCCCCATTCCCTCCTGATCCCCACCCTACTAACCTGCTCTCCAGCTCCGTTCTCCTGTGCAGGGCAACAAAAGCAGACCCAGCCGATCAGCTGGGACTCCATGGGAGGCAGAGAAGAGATGGGGTTGGCAAGGCCAGTCAGAGGTGGGATTTGCCGGTTCTCTGAACGACTCAAAATTTCCACTACCGGTTCTCCAGAACCGGTCAGAACCTGCTGAATATCACCTCTGCCTTAGAAATTTTCTAGTCCAACCCCCTGCTCCATTCCAGACCAAGGAGTGTCCAATCTCTTCTTACAAACCTCCAATGATAAGAGCGCTCACGACTTCTGGAGTCAAGTTGTGATTAGGGAAAGCGTTAAGTTTAATTCAGGTGGAAAGTGAAGAGGCTGTTTCTAAACTTGTGGGTTTCCCTTCAGCATGTCCGGGCCTAACAGCTCTTCAGAGTGGTCCATCGAAGGCCGCCGGTTGGTTCCTCTGATGCCTCGGTTGGTTCCTCAAACCGCCTTCACCGTCACGGCCAACGCTGTGGCCAACGCCGCTCTCCAGCACAATGCGTCTCTCCCTTCCCCTGCGGAAACAGGAAGCAAAGAAGGTGAGGGTAGGTGGCCCTTTACCTTCTTACAACATGGGGCTTGGGAAGAAGGGAGATAACGCCCGTGGTGGTTCTCTACCATCCCGATCACGGTCATCCCAGAGGTGTTTCTTTCAGGAGACAACTGGACTTCCTGTTGTTTTTGTTTTTCCTTGTAGACGTTTCGCTTCTCATCCAAGAAGCTCCTTCAGTTCTTCTTTTTTTTAAATATTTTTTTAATTTTCTTTTTAGATGCAATAAATCCGTTCCATTTCCAACCGTGTGTCGATTGGGTACATATTTCAATTGCTTAACAATTAATAATAATATTCTTCTTAACAACTTAACAATACAACAATCATCACATTCCCATGGATATAGAATAGATGAGATCCAATATATATCTATTCCGCTAGTTTCTCTTAATTGTTCTAGAAATACATCTAATCTCTTTTAATTTCTTCTATTTTCTAGCCGTTGATAAAACAAATCCCATACCATAGAACAGTGGTGGCTAGCCTTTTGGGGCTCCTGTGCCAAAAATTGTGCACACGCTTGCAGGCTTGCGCTTGCTTGCCAGCACGCAGAAGGCAATGCACGCCCCTCCATGCCCCCTACACGTACGCACAATCCTCACTCACCCCACCGCCCCCTTACCTGCACTGCACCTCATCGCTGATTTTTGGCGAGGCTTGAGGAAGGCTTCTGTAGGCTTCTGCAGGCTTTGCAGGCTGAAAACTAGGCCCGTTTCCTCATTTCCGGTATTTTCGGAAAAACAGGAAGTGATGAAACGGGCCTAGTTTTCGGCCTACAAAGCTTGCAGAAGCCTACAGAAGCCTTCCTCAAGCCTTTGGGAGGCCGGAAAAGGCCTCAAACTGGCAGAAAATCAGCTGTGAGGCGCGCACATGCGCAGTGAGGTAAGTTTACCTGTAGCTCGCGTGCCGGCACAAATGGCTCTGTGTGCCACCTGTGGCACGCCTGCCATAGGTTTGCCATCACGGCCATATAATAGTCAGATTCTTCTTTCATTTCTAATATCAATCTATTCAATTCTGCACATTCAAATATTTTTTCAATTACTTTTCCCTCTATCGGTATCTTATCACTCTTCCAATTTTGGGCAAATACAATTCTAGCTGCTGTTAAAACATGTATAATTAAGTAAATATTTTCTTTACTATAGCCTTCTGGTATTCCTAGTAGAAATATTTCAGGTTTCAAATCTATATGTTGTTTAATCACTTTTTCCCCAACTATGTGTATATTTTAGTCCAATATCTTTTAGCTTCTGTACAAGTCCACCACATATGGTAATACGTTCCTGGTATTGGATGGCATTTCCAACATTCGATTGATTTATCTTTTAAACATTTTCGCTAATTTTGCTGGCGCTAAGTGCCATCTATAAAACATACAAATTATCTTTATGTAAGCTTCTTCCGTTCTGACTCTCACCCATCACTTCACCAGAACTGATGAAGTCTCTTGGATGAGAAGCGAAAGGTCTACAAGGGGAAAAAAAACGAAGTCCGGTTGTCTCTTTCAAAAAGCAGGACCAGAAAGGAGAGAGTTTTCACATTCGGAAAGAACAAGCCTTGATTTGGGGTTTAGCACATTTTGAAGGCACCGGGTGGTGGTGGATGCTCTTGTGTGACTCTGTGGGCTCCAAAAATGATTCAAGAAAGCCGAATTTAATTTGAAAACCCAACTAAGTTTTGAAAACACAGCTAAAACTTGTGTTTTGTCATCTTCTTCAGTAGTGGTTTGTTACTCCTACACAACTACCACCTCTACGCCGACGTCCACTCCCGTACCGAGCGGTAGTGTTGCCACGGTTAAGTCCCCCAGACCTGCCAGCCCAGCTTCCAACGTCGTCGTTCTCCCAAGTGGTAGTGCTGTTTACGTTAAAAGTAAGTGTGTTATCAGCCAAAGTGGAAGATTCTGGACTTCAAAAGAGTTTAGAGATGATCATTAGATGTTGGTTTATGACCTCAAAGCAGGCTGCTTGAATCCTGGCGCAGTTTGGAGTGGCAAATTCAAGTAGCTCATTTTGAAGTTGGACTATTTCTGGTACTCTCAGAAAAGATCATTTCAAGGTGGCAGGTTGGAACGTTTTGATTACACAGGTAGATAGTCCTCGTTTAGCAACCGCAATTGGAACTGGCAACTTGGTCACTTAAGTTGACAATTACAGGACCCAGAGTGTGCTTATAATTTTACTTCCAGCTTCCTGTTTTACTTCTTTCCCTCCCCCATCCTTTGGAAATGCACACTCCAGTGCTGGGATAATGAGTAAGAAAAGAATTGGATGTTTACATTCCTTGCAGAGGAAGGGATTATAAGAGAGCAAGCAGGACCACAGTGGTGAATACAGGTAGTACTTGACTTACAACAGTTCACTGAATGACCGTTCAAAGTTAGGATAGCACCGGAAAAAAAGTGACGTGTGACACTTTTTTTCACACTTACGACCATTGCAGCGTCCCCATGTGATCAAAATTATGATGCTTGACAATTTGTTCGTATTTATGACGGATGTAGTGTCCTGGGGTTATGTGATTTCGCTTTCGTGACCTTCTGACAAGCCAAATCAATGGGGAAAGCCAGATTTGCTTAACAACGATGTTACTTAACAACTGCAGCGTTTCACTTAACAACGGTGGCAAGAAAGTTTGTAAAATGGGGCAAAGCTAACGTAACAAATGTCTCAATTAGTACTAGAAATGTTGGGCTCGATTGTTGGTCCTAAGCGAGCACTACCTATACCCATTGAAAGGAATGTAACCACAGTAGCTGTTTTTCTAGTGTGCCGGCTGGAAAGCTAAGCTAAGGAAGCCAACAAAATCCACTGATTAAAGTCTTGTCAGTTACAGGCAGCAGCTTGGAGCTATCTAATTAAGGTGTAGGGTTGGGTTGGTTAACTTGTGATTGGCACATACTGTGTAAGTGCTGGGCTCTGGAAAAAAAAATCAGCTAAAGAAGAGATCAGTTGTTTAAGCAATCTCTTTGCTTTTTCCATTAAACCCCCCCAAAATGTCTGTGTTTTTCTTTCTATATTCACCTTAAGAATTTTTCTGTATTAAGATATGAATCCTATCCCAATATTTCTCTGCTTTATCACACCTCCACCCTAAATGATAAAAAGTCCCTTCTTTACGTTTACATTTCCAGCCTTCATTTGAAATACCTCTATACATTCTTGGCAACTTATCTGGAGTTGAATACCAACCATACATCACCTTATAGAAATTTTCTTTATAAATTCTAGTTTAATGTACATTTTAAACCTTGGTTCCACTCCCAAACTGTTCAAGCATTACATTCTATCCAAAGTTCCTTTGCCCACTGAAACATAGCAATGAATGCTTTACTGGTCGGATTTTTCCAGATTTAAATTCGGTCACACTTTATAGAGGGACATGGTGGTTCAGTGGCTAAGACGCTGAGCTTGTCGATCAGAAAGGTCGGCAGTTTGGCGGTTCGAATCCCCAGCGCTGCGTCATGGAGTGAGCTCCCATGACTTGTCCCAGCTTCTGCCAACCTGGCAGTTCAAAAGTACGTAAAAAAATGCAAGTAGAAAAATAGGAACCACTTTGGTGGGAAGGTAACAGCGTTCTGTGTGCCTTCGGCGTTTAGTCCTGCCGGCCACATGACCACGGAGACGTCTTCGGACAGCGCTGGCTCTTCGGCTTTTTAACGGAGATGAGCACCGCCTTCAAGAGCCGGAAACAAGTAGCACGGATGTGCGAGGGGAACCTTTACTTTTACCTTTACTTTAACACTTTACGGGCTTTGGCAATAATCTGTTCATCGCTACCACACGGTAAAATTTCCAATTCATTCAACAGAACGAGAACCTCCCCCCACAAAATTTGTGCTCTTCGTTGCAGGTGTGAGTTGTTCGGATGAAGACGAGAAACCCCGCAAGAGGCGCCGTACCAACTCCTCCAGCTCCTCCCCGGTGCTCCTGAAAGAAGTCCCCAAGGCCATCCCGCCGGTCACCAAGACCATCACGGTGCCCGTGGGGGGGAGCCCCAAGATGAGCAGCATCATGCAGAGCATTGCCAACTCCCTCCCGCCCCACATGTCTCCTGTGAAGATCACGTTCACCAAGCCCTCCTCCACTCAGACCACCACCACCACCACCACGCAGAAGGTCCGAGGTGGGATCGGGGTGGTTTTCTTGGGGGGGGAAAGCTTTTTTCTATTCTGCCAAAGGGTTGGGTCAGGGGGTCGGCAACCCGTGGCTCTAGAGCCACATGTGGCTCTTTCGTCTGTCTGTTGAGGTTCCCTGTCGCCGGTAGGCACCACAAGTTTGAGAGGAGCTTCCAGTTGGGGTGGGGTGGGGTGAAGCAGCGGGCCAGGAGGAGACTCTATGGCTGTGATGGGGCACGCAGAGCCATTTGTGCGGGCACATGAGCCCCATCCAAACTTACCTGCACTGCGCATGCGCGCGTCTCCCAGCTGATTTTCGGCCCGTTTGAGGCCATTTTTGCCCTCCTGGGGGGCTTGAGGGAAGCCTCTGCAGCCTTTGGAGGCCGAAAAATGGACCTGTTTTGTATTTAACGGAAGTGCTGAAACGGGCCTGTTTTTCGGCCTCCAAAGGCTGCAGAGGCTTCCCTCAAGCCCCCCAGGAGGGCAAAAATGGCCTCCCCCAGGCTCCAAAGGCCCTCCGGAGGCTGAAAACAGGCACTTCCGGTATTTCCGGAAGGGCCATTTTTTCGGCCGCCTGAGGCTGCAGAGGCTTCCCTCGAGCCTCTGGGAGGCCGAAAAAGGCCTCAAACGGTCCAAAAATCAACCGGGAGGCACTCGCATGCGCAGTGCAGGTAAGTGTGGGTGGGGGGTGTTGCATGCACATGTGCAGGGGGCGGGGCGTATGTGCTTTCGGCACACCACAACCAAAAGGTTCGCCATCACCGCTCTATGGCAAGGGGCGGGTTTTCCCGTTGGCTCCACAACTGATAGGACTTCCGGTTAGGACAGGTAGAGGAAGAAGCCTGCCGTGCTCGGAGGAGACTTTATGGTTGGGGAACTGGACTTCCAGTCGGCTCCAGAATTGAACGGCGGTGCTTCTGGTTAGGGCCTTTATGGCTCTTTTGAATGTTTAAGTTTGCCAGCAGTCAGCAGAAGTAGCCTGCAGTACTGCACTCTAACCACTGCGCCACCGTGGCTCGCTGTAGTTGTAGCTGCAAGTCTGGCGGCAAATCCCTTTCCCCTCCCCCCCCTAATTTCCAGCAGTCACTAAACGAACGGTTGTAAGTCCCGGACCACCTGTATTCCGCTTGTTTTTGAGCACTGTTCATAACGGGAAAATGATCGTATCCGACCCTTTGTCCAAAGTGTCTCGTGGTTCTCTTCCAGGTAATCATCGTGACCACCTCGCCCAGCTCCACGTTCGTCCCCAACATCCTCTCCAAATCCCACAACTACGCAGCCGTCACCAAACTCATCCCAACGTCGGTGATAGCGTCCACCACCCAGAAGCAGCCCGTGGTCATTACGGCTTCCCAGTCCGCCCTGGTTAACAACAGCACCAGCACCACCAGCACCACCACCACTAGCCTCACTGCAGGGAGCTGTTCCACGCCTTCTTCCACGCCCAGCACCATTGGGGTGACCACCGTGGTGCCCTCTACCCCGTCCGTGGTTATGTCAACGGTGGCGCAGGGTAAGAGGCTGGTCTATTTGAGGAAGAAGGGAAAGTCCTGTAGCTTAATGACAGTGTGTGTGTGTGTGTGTGTGTGTGTGTGTGTGTTTAGTGTTAGAGTTTGCAGCAATCCAACCAGCAAACAAGTAAATAATTCAGCAGGACTCATTTAGAGAAGAAACTTCTTTATGTACAATAATATACAGCAGTGGTCACCAACCAGTGGTGCCACTGGTGGTCCGTGAAAATTTTTTGGTGGTCTGCAGAGAAATGTCACCCCCAAAGCAATTATTCCAAGCTGCGCGGGAACACAAGGCTTGTGTCATGTGCATTGCGAACAACACAAGGTAATGAGGCGAAGGGGGAAAGGGTGGAGGGGGGGAACTTGCCCCATGTGCCTTGCCTGGCCACCGGGCTGCTTCTTTCTGCTTCTTTCTTCTGCTTTTGACTGCACGCAAGGAAAGCAGTAAAAGTCTTTCTTCCTGTCCCCCAAACTCCGCCAGAAATGAGTCTTTGGGACCCTGCAAGGCCTCCTGCTCCAAGAGGCTTCGCCGGCAAAGACTCATTTCTGGTGGAGTTTGGGGGAGAGAAAGAAAGACTTCTGCTGCTTCTGCTGCTTTCCTTGCATGAAGCCAAAAGTCTCTCTCTCTCTCTCTCTCCCCCCCTGAGAACGGAGCTGGAGATGGTATCCTGAGATCCCAAATAAAGAATGATCGATCGGTAGGAAAATGGGGTGGGGAATTTTCCTGCAGACTTTTTTGGGGGATTTCCCCAAGGTCTCTGGTCTGTGGGATTTAAATTTATGAATTTGGTGGTCCCTGAGGTCCAAAAGGTTGGCGACCCCTGATATACAGTATGATGCATGTATACAATACCCATGCAGCAGAAGGCAGAACCAGAACTCAGAAGCCAGAAGTTGTAATCATAGAAGCTATATAATGCAGAGGCAATATTGCAAGGATAAAGCAACTCTTATATACAAATCAGTCAAGCTAAGCCATGCCCAGGCTTCAAGCCGTGTGGCATGGTTTACAACAGGTGCTGCTTCTTAGTCAACAAACAGTTCCCGTTGGCTGACTCCTTGTTATGGCTATCCCAGCTCATAATTTCTTACATACTGACATTTAGTTTATTGTCATTGCACCTTGTACAATGAAATTAAATGCCATCTTCAGTGTACATTAGAACAATAGAAACAAAACACAAACGCACATCCTTCGCATTCTATACAATTGAATGGGAAACTCCTGATACTGCATTAATGTGGCATGCGGTGGCTCAGTGACTAAGATGCTGAGCTTGTTGATCAGAAAGTTCGGCGGTTCGAATCCCTAGTGCCGTGTCATCGAGTGAGCTCCCGTTAAACTTGTCCCAGCTTCTGCCAACCTGGCAGTTTGAAAGCATGTAAAAAATGCAAGTAGAAAAATAGGGACCACTTTGGTGGGAAGGGAACAGCGTTCCATGCGCCTTCGGCGTTTAGTCATGCCGGCCACGTGACCACGGAGACGTCTTCGGACAGTGCTGGCTATTTGGCTTTGAAATGGAGATGAGTATCACCCCCTAGAGCCAGAAACGACTAGCACAAAGAGGAACATTTACCTTCATACAGTAGAATGCAATATAGTTACTGCTCTGGGATAGAAGCTGTTTTTCAGCCTATTTGTCCTTGTTTTTATTATCCTGTGCCGTCTGCCAGATGGTAATAGTTCAAAAAAAGGTGTGCCCAGGATGAGATGGATCTTTGAGAATGTTTTGAACTTCCTTAAGCTAGCAGGATAATGTTTTGAACTTTCTTAAAGCTCTTCCAAAGAGGGGAGAGGCTAATTGCATTCTATACAATTAATATTGCGTTAATATTGCACTATACAGTAGAATGCAACAGAGCTACTGCCTGTCAACTCATAAAACGTATACACATTTTATAGTGGCCAACAGAAAGAAGGGGGGGAGTTTCAAAGAGCAGGCAGCAGTGTGGAACCGAAAGTACATTCCATTCGTATTTTCTTCAAAGACTGATTAGATGACTGAAGCTTCTGCCATGAAAAAATCTAATTGGAGAGCATGATTGACTATTGGCTATGGATGATTTTCATTGGATGATACACCCAGAGGGGTGAGGGGAAAAGGAGGATCAAGGGTGACAGTGAATTACGTGTCTCAGAGTTGGTTACGCCCAGGTTAGTGCCGGAATGTTAACTTCAAATAAATCCAAAGAAGTTTTGGGAGTGTGACTCGAGGCTCATGATCAATTAAATCAGTAACTGCCGGAATCCTGACACTGCCCTGGGATGGAAGCTGTTTTTCAGCCTATTTGTCCTTGTTTGTATTGTCCTGTACTGTCTGCCAGATGGTAATAGTTCAAAAAAAAGGGTTCCCAAGATGAGATGGATCTTTGAGGATGTTCTGAACTTTCTTAAGGCAGCGGGAGCTATAAAGCTCTTCCAAAGAGGGGAGAGGGCAGCCCATGATCCTCTGGGCAATGACGTTAACCCTCTGGAGTGCTGTCCTATCTGCCCCTGTGCAATTGGCAAAGCAGACACAGGTGCAGGAAGTTAAGATACTCTCTATGGTGCAGCGGTAGAAGGTCACCAGCAGTTTTCCATTCAGGTGTTGTTTCCTGAGAAGCCTCAGGTAGTATCATCTCTGCTGGGCCCTTTTGACCAGGGCTGCCATGTGAGCCCCCCCAGGTTAGGTCCTCTTTTAGGGTAACACCCAAAAACTCAAAACTGGCCACTAATAGACCCCAATGGAAGGCAGTTAGAAACCAGTGGGTGCTGTAGTGTCCAAAGACTGGGAATCGGGGGAAGGGATAGAAAGAGGAACTCTTGCAAATTGGCAAAAGACACAAAGGTGGCAGGAATAGCCAGCAGGCCAGAAGACAAGCTCGGGGTCTATGGTGCAGCGGTAGAAGGTCACCAGCAGTTTTGTTAATCCAGTTGTTTCCTGAGAAGCCTCAGGTAGCATAATCTCTGCTGGGCCCTTTTGGGGCTGCAATGTGAGCGGCCCAGGTCAGGTCCTCTTTTAGGATAAAAAACAAAAACAAACCCACTGCCCTTGTGCTTTTCTCTTCTTTATCCTCTCAACTGATTGGCTCTGCAGGCCTCAGCTGGTGTGTAAAAAGCTGCACGTGTGTTAGGTGCCGTGCGCATCTGCACCATCACCGAATAGGTAGGAATCCCACTGCTTTAACCAAGGTGTCAGCCTTCAAGATCTTCTACTATTGCTTTGCATCTTTAGGGTGCCATAAGTAACGGGGAGGAGAAGGGGGTAAAGTCTGGGAAGCGAGCTGGAGGTGTTACATTCTAGTGTTGTGTAAATGAGGAGTGGGGGGGAGTATAAATTCCTGTTTAGGTTTCTATTCCTCGCTTAGCTTTCTTTTCTCTGCGCAGCTGCAAACCTTTATCAAAATATGCCAAGGTCAACGGACAGAGGCCTCATCACCACCTGAAGATGCCCACATGATCATATTCACAACGTTTAATTGGAAGAATCATTTGAACTATTGGGGGTGGGAACATTTCCATCACTTTGTATGTGTGATTGGCGCGCCTAATTTTCTCAGATTCAGAATTCTACGGTTGCTACCACTTCATTTTCAGTCAAAGATATCTTTTCTCTAATCTATGGAGTCTTAAGTATTTCTTTCTTGGATTTTGAATGGAGCACCACCTGACAGAAGGATGGCGTTAGCTTCCTTGGCATGACTGAATTCGAGAACATCACCCATCCTGACCCTCTGCCCTCCTCTCTTGCAGGCGTGTGCACTTCCGCGATCAAGATGGCCGCCGCCCGCCTACCGTCTCCGAAGAGCCTGGTGGGGACGCCCAGCCAGATCCTCGCCCAGTTCCCCAAGCAGCCGCTGACTTCGGCTTCGCTGGCCGCCCCGCCTCAACCCCAGCCAACCCCGGCACCCCAGCAGACCCCTCTGCCCCCCAACATTAAGCCCACCATCCAGATCAAGCAAGAATCAGGTATGGCAAAAACGGGGTTGTATCGTCCCGGTGATGGGTGGGTGAGGTTACGGCCACCCTTGAGCGCCAAAGTTTCCATGGCTGAGCCAAGACGGTGGTTCGGCGAGCTTTGTTCCCCGTGTTACGACCTTTTCCGCCACAGTCGGTAAAGGGTGTGCTGCGATTGAGGAAGTTAGGAATCTGGTGGTTAAGCAAATCTGGGCTTCCCTGTGGACTTGGCTCACCGGAAGGTCGACCGAGGGGACCCTGGGACCCTGCGGCCATCGTAAATACGAGTCAGTTGCCAAGCATCCGAATTTGGATCGCCTGGGGAGGCTACAACGGCCGTAAGTGTGAGAAACAGTCAGTTTTTTTCAGTCCCGTTGTAACTTTGAATGTTTGCTAAACAAAGGGTTGTAAGTTGAGGTCTATCTGTACTTTAACCATCTCTGAATGTTAATGTTAACCTGCTTTAAGATCCTAGCTGCGTCCTTAAACTTTCTCTAATTTTCTGTCCTCTCTCTCTTCCTCCCTTCCTTCCTTCCTC